CTAATCTATATCAGCCCCTATTTCCCTTTATCACAACTTTCTATTTAGATGCTGTTTTCCAGTTTACAAAGTGCTTCCACATACCTTACCTCCTCTCCTCTAATTTGCTGTTTCTAATCAGTTTTGGGCTGAACAACCAGATTACCTCCAAATCTAACATGCTTAGATAAGTAAAAGCAATTAGGCTCTGAGTGAGGGCGTGAGGCAGTCTCCCAGAAATAAAGTGCATAAGTCTTGGTGCAAAGATGGGACGTCTCTTTTGCATCCCAGATCTTCTCTGACCACTCAGTCATTCATTTAACAAACATTTACTAAGCACCTGCTATGTGCCAAGTTCTACATTGGGTGCTAGGGTTATAAGGATAATCAAACTCTGATTCCTGCCTTTGAGAAGTTCCAAGACTAGCGGATAGAGAGACATGTTCACAGATAACCATAGCAAGAGTGGATGAGCAGTGAAAAGGCAGCTTGGCACAAGCAATTATGGGAAAATGGATGTGAGCTGCCCAATCCAGCAGAGAAGATCATCTAGAAGATCTGAGGCTAAAGAAAGCTGGCATCTCCTCCTTTATGGTTTTCATCTAGATCGTAGATGCTGAAGGTTGCTAGATTGCTGAACTTTGGATAAAGCAGGGAAATGGTTCTTAACTCTGGATTCATATTAGAATCACTTACAAAGGAATCAAAAAGAAAAAATCACAAGGCTTAGCCACTTTGAAAAACTGTTGAGCAGTATCTACTAAAGAACATATACATACCCAATGACCTAGCAGTTCCACTGCTATGTATAAACCCAACAGAAATGTGTGTATATGTTCTCCAGAGGACACTCACAAGGGTATTCACAGCGGCATTGTTCTTAGCAATCGAACACTGGAAACTACATAGATATCCATCAACAAGTATGTAGAAAAAATATGGTACATCCATGCAGTGAAATACTACTTAGCAACGAGAAAGAACGAACCACTAGTACCTGCAACAACATGGGTGACTCGTATAAATAGTATACTGAGTGAAAGAAAGCTAATGCAAACAAGTACATACTGTTATGATTCCACTCACATAAAGTAACAAAGTGAAACAAAAATGAGCCTATTGTCTTAGAAATCAGAGTAGTAGTGCCCCTTGGTGAGGGCTGGTGACTGGGAAGGGGCACTAGGGTGGCTTCTGGGTGTCAGTACTGTCCTGTTTCTTAGTCGGAGTTCTGATTATATGGGTGTGTTCAGTTTGTGAAGATTCACCAAACTATATATGAGTACTTAGAATTTGTGCAACTTCCTGAATGTATGTTATACTTCAGTATAAAGTTGACTTAAAGATAAACATTAAAAAAATAAGGAAATACCAATACATGGGCCGCACTGCAGACCAATTAACCCAGAATCTCTGGGTTATGGAACCCCAACATTTATATATTTTTAAAGCACCCCAGGTGACTCTAATGTACAGCCATGTCTGAAAACCAAGGAGCTAGGTGTTCCTGTATTTACCAATAGCTCTTCAGGGGCAAAGACAATGAGTTTTGGAATAAAGTACATCAGTGATCACATTCTGACTCTGCCTTGCACTGGCAGTGTGAGGTATTTGTCTGGATCATCCCCAAACCTTAGTTTCCACCACTGAATAGTAGGTACAATGCCACCTGCCTCCCCAGATTGTTGTGAGGATTAAGTAAGATAATAAACTTAAAGCACTTAGCATAATGCCTGGAACACAGTAGATGCTTGAGAAATGGGAGATTCTCAACTCCTTTTCCTCCTTCTCATCTAAGTTCCTAAGCACAGAGATGAACAGGTTGCTGTAAACGAACAAAACTCACACTCTCCAATTTCTCCTCCTGAATGAGTTTCTTTGTAAAGACTGAAGTAATATTATACTTGGACTAATGATGTCAAATGAATATCGGAAATGTCTGGTCCTGGCCACTCTATTCAGCACCTGTTACCCCTGAATGTGAATGGAGAGGAGGCAGGTCGTGGGTAAAAACAAACCACAGACCCTCCTTTGGAAAACTTTGCTCCTGCTCTCACCCCTAAGAACAGCGCCAGTCCTGTGCAAGCAATGGCAAGGCCAAAATGTGAGTTGGCAAAAAGAACAGAAAAAAATAGTAGCTCAGAAGAAATACCAATCATAAACTAAGTCAAATGAGCCACTTTTGTATAAAATGTCACATTTTAGTAAAAACAAACAGAACAAAACCCTGGGCTGAGAACAGGAGATACAGGTTAGAGTTTTTTTTTTGTTTTTTTTTTTTCCTTTTTGTCTTTTTTCGTGTCCGGCAACGGATCGCAACCCTCAGTGTCGTGCCCGTACCGGACTGGGACCGGCAACGGGATCGCAACCCTCGGTGTTGCTCCCACACCTCGCTCAGCCAGTGAGCGGCCGGTCTGTATGTGGGATCCGAACCCTCGGTGGGAGCGCCACCGCGCTCTCAAGCGGCGCACTGTAGCAGTGCGCCACCGGGCCGGCCCCAGGTTAGAGTTTTGACTCTACCTCTGGTAAGCTGTTTGACTTTGGTTAACTAAACATTTCTGTTTCTCTGTCAAATGAAAGTAATGCCATCTCTCCTACATCTTTTATAAGGGCACAGTGAGTTTCAGATAAGATAAGCAGAACGCATTCAAAAAAATTAAGCACCAAAGAAATGCAAGATGAGAATACTAGCTGGAAATTTACTTTGTTCAAGACTCCAATCATCCTCCCCCCACCTCACCCCCACCGAGACAGAACACTCTCCTGTTTTAACTGTTCCAAGCACACCCAGAGCCTACACTGGCCTGAAGCTCACTTATGTAAGAAGGGACTGCAGCACTGTCTGGAATGTAGCATAATACTTTGCTTAAGAGAAATCCTTGGAAATGCCTCAGCTGAAGTACAAGGGCAGGCCCAGGCCTTACATTTTGGAGAGAGGCACTCTCAGTCACAGAACACCAGAACTGTGGCTGGAGCAAATGATGTCATCGGAGATCCTCTTACCATGGTCAATGTCAAAATTAAGATAGGAAGTTCAAGAACAAACTATGGATTTTCCAGGCAATTATAAGTTAGAAAAGCAGTTGGAATCTTAGAATCTCGCCTTTAAAATTACTAATATTTCACAGAACATCAATTAAAATTTATTTTATTCTGTAAGGTATTTCGGTTTATGTGAAGCTTTTATTGACAAAAATATACATAGAAAAATATATTCCTTTACTGTATTTTTACTCCCATTACACATTAAGAAAAGGGAGGAAAAATCAACTGAATCACCCCTATATCCAAAAACAATAACAAACAGAATTAAAATATGAGATCTTAGAAGAGACAGAGATAAACTTGAGGGCTCTCCACTCTAGAGCTAAAAAACGAAATAGCTCAAATACCTGTTGGGTTCCTAAATGACTGGAAAATGAAAACTCAAAATTAACTACGGGCACGTTGGAACACCTTGTAGAGCACCGGTGTTTCCCATCCACAAACCATTCCTGCGACAGACCTGTGTACTCAACGCCCAAAACATCCCCAAATGTACGGATGCCGGGGGTTGGGAGGGCATCAAATTAGTATCAAAAATAGTGGTGTTGACTCCTGCTCTGGTTCCAGGGGAAAGGAAGAATCCGATATGATGCAAACCTTGCAGATAGAGCTGGACAACTCACCCCTAAGTTTGGCGCGTCCTCGCTCTGCACCCTCGGCCCCAACCCCCTCTCCCGGCACCCGGGATCTCAGTGCACCGTGAGGCCCTGGCAGAGAACGGACCCCGCGGCTGGGGCTGCGAGCCAAGGCAGTGGGGAGGAAGGGCGGCTCCTCTCCAGCGGGGGTCCTCCGGCACCCACCCCTAGGCCCTTCCGCGCTCCCCTTCCCCTGACCCGTTGCCCCCCAAGCAGGTCACCTGGCTTGGCCGCAGCCCGCCTGTCCTCTGACTGCTCGGTCACTCCAGCCGCGCCGCCGCCGCCGCCACCTTCTGGAAGCGGCTCGCCCTCCCGAGTCACGGGGCCGGCGAGCGGGCGGGCGAGCCTGTGCCAAGGCTGCGGGAACCGCTCAACCCAGCCGGACCTGGGACCCTGCCCTGAGCGCGGCCGCCACCAGGGTGAAACTGGAGAGCTGGGCTCGGCTAAGCCCTGCGGGGAGGGGAGGCTGCAACTTTGCTCCCGGACACGGGCGAGGAGGGGGCGCCCGTCTCCAAACTCCGTGCCGCGCCCGCAACCTCTCCAGTCCTAGGATTTTTTTTTTCTTTTCTTTCCTTTTATTGATTTATTTATTTAATGCTTTTTTTAAAAAAAAAAATCTAAAAGGAAGTCAGATTCTTGCCCCGAAGTTCTTTCGGCGGGCGGAGGACCGCGGGGCCGAACAGGGAGGCGGGGGTGCGGAAGGCGCGCCCCGCTGGCTGCGCTGGCTGCGAGCCGGCCGAGGGCGCG